CTTTCTTGTTTGCTTTGCCACTCTCAGAATTGGCTGGGGCACCCTGGGAGTTGTAGTTTTTTTAAAAAGTAACTTTGCCAAGGTCTGGATGGAAGATACTGTTCGTTGCAGAGTTTGGAAAAGTGACTGACTGGCCTGCCCGCTCTAGGAGATTTTGGGAGCTGTAATCCAGCAAAGCAACTTTTCCAAATTGGGATTGCTTTTTGCACTGGTTTCCAACCTTGGGACCCCAGAGGGACTGCAGTACATCTCCTTGCCAGCACAGCTGGTAGGGAAGACTTCTGCAGTTTTACTCTAAGAAAATCAGGGGGGAGAAACCTGTAGCCCTCAAATGTTGGACTGCAAAACATATTAGCCTTTAACTAGTGGGAGTTGCAATGCAACAATATTTAGAACACCATATGTTCACTACTCCTTCTTTAAAAAGGGAACTATTTATTTATCTCCCTCCCTCCCCCGGTACTTTAGTCCAATGGTTCTTAACCGTGGGTTATTCAGGTGTTTTTGCACTGCAACTCCCAGAAGACTTCACCACCAGCTGTGGTGGCTGGGGTTTCTGGGAGTTGCAGTTCAAAAACAGTTAAGAACCACCACTTTAGTCCATCTTAGTGGCAGAGAGGGAGGGCTACATACCCATGTGTGGGTTGCAGAGTGTAAACCTTTAAATTCCGGTCTAGATAGTGGTCACAACTGAAAGAGGTGTTGTTTATGTGCCATCAAGTTGTTCCCAACTTATGGTGACCCTGTAAATTAATGGCCTCAAAAAGATCTTGTCATTAACAGCCCTGCTTAGGTCTTGCAAATTGAATGTTGTGTTATTGAGCCAGTCCATCTGATGTCCAGTCTTTCTCTTTTTCTACTGCTTTCACCATTTCCCAGCATCATTGCCTTTTCCAGTGGATCTTGTCTTACAGTCATGGAAGTGGAGAATGATGCTCTCGGTCAGATGCTCAAGATTTTGATGTTGTTTGCAAGGATTGCTACTGTATCTAATTTCACACATCTCTTTGCTGAACCAGCTCTGAAGTACTGAAATGCTCCTTATGTATTGTGGGCATCCAAGCCCTGGCAGAGATGAATCGATGGCGTGAAGTCCTTCCCTGGCTTCTCCAGTACTACCAAGATCCTGAATGTTGGCCTCCTCAAATCCTAGAACTGTGGTGAGTTCCACTTCTTTGTATGTGCCTGGTTTTTATGGCAGTCATAAAGTTGTTTCTGGACTGTACCACTTAAGCCTGTAGATGGGGAGCTGATATAGCCAAATCAGTTCCTCCATAGTTCCAAAAATCTTGATATTGAGAGCAATGATTGTAGCTTCTCCTGGATATGCTAGCCTTCTTTGGGCTGGGATTATGTTGAAGAAGGTGCATTTTATCACATGATCCTTCTACTTGCAGACTGAAATGGTACTACCCAACATGGATTTACCACTTTAGTGATGTTTCAGATTGGCTGACAGCCTGAAATCATACTTCCAAAAGGGCAAACTGAAGGGAAGGATGTGGCAAAATATGATGATTCGCATTTTTTTACTATATAAAAATATATATTTTAAACAATCATGGTTATATATGGAACAGTTTGCTACAGTGGAGTTTTGACAGCTGTGAAAATTGGGTTTAACTAGAATGTGGGACTGTTTTAATGGATGAGCCCCGGGTGTACTTTATGGACCAAAATGTCTTTGTTTTTAAATTTGGGGTGTACAAGGGTCCAGGTATCAGAATCAAAGAATGGCCCTGCCCATTTTTGGACCCATCTGTGCCCACTACCAGTTTGTGGCTTCCCATGGATTACACCCAAGGAATGTGGTTCTCAATGGAAAATCGGCTCTCTGTCTTTTACTCTATAGCCAGAATCCTGTTGCTTACCTGATCGCATAAGGGCAATTATGCAGGTGGTGGGGCTATTTGGCAACTATTCGTTGTGTGTTCAGCCAATCTAGTTGCTTAATCAGTTATGTGAACAGCAACTGACAAAGCATAAAAACCACTTTCCCTTACGCATGTAGTCTTCTGCAGGAGGATTTTGTCCTATGCCAGGAACTCTGAGAATGTGTACAGAAAATATTAGGTAAATCCAAGTGTCTGATTGTGTAATCATATTAAAGTGTTGTTGTTACGATGTTCTCTCTCAGTATCCTCCTCCACAGCAAAGTGGAAGAACCTCACTTGATGCTGGAAATTGGCAATGACTGGTTGCGTTCTTCTGCCAATCAAAACTTGCATCATTATGGCCTGTTGGTTCAGCTGTACCTGTTCCATGTGCTGCTGCCGCTTGGGCGCTTTGCAGAGGCAGAGGAGCTGGTCCAAGGCTGCAAAGACCTAAGCATAGAGCAGCAGGTGGAGGCACATGAGAGGATTAAAGAGAAGCAGCGTCAGTGGCTGCAGCAGGAAGAGGAGGACCTCAGTCCTCCAGAAGAGCCAGATGTGGCATGGAAGCAACAACTGGGTAGGTTCTCATTTTAGCAGTCTTCTGGGCAAAATCATTGGCCAGAATCCAGTTGGCTATTTATGCCAGTGTAAATGCAGTAAATTGGAGAAACCTATAGCTGCCAGTTAATGTGTTTTTTAAATATTTTTGCTTATTGGCTCTTCTGTGCTAGAAAAGTCTGCGCTCCTGGTAGCTGACTAACATAGTAATCCTTTTAGAGTAGAAAATCCTGAAGATGGTCCTGATGGATATCGCAAAGCTAGGATGTCGCAAAGCTAGTACTATAATTGTACTACTGCTCCCCTCCTCTCTTACTGCTGGCTGTGTGAGCTGGAGCTGAAGGGAGGGGCAGGCAAACAGATACCTGTAAGGGCACACAGTCCCCTGCCCCACTGAAGATCATTTCTGGGAAGTATGGTTATTAAATGAGAATTGCATAGGTAACTGCATGTGCAAACCAGCTATTACTCTTGTGCCTTGGGTCCTTTATTAAGGAGAAAGGCGGGGTAAAAACAAACAAATCCTGCAATTCTGTTTTATAGTATATTTTCCAGTATACTGACTAGTAAATACTAACTAGTTCACTGAACACTGAGCAACTTCACAGGACATAATGATGGGAAATACATTGAGCAATCTCATTGGATATTATTAGCAGAGGTAAGTGGAGTATTGGGGGACAAGAGCAGCATCCAGATCAGATCTTGGAAAAGTTACTGTTTTGGACCGTTGCCAGAATCCTCCTAACTGATTACTCATATGTGTGACTGACAGCAGTAGCCTTTAAGGTCTTCCTCATAACTGCTGGATAGCTCTGTGGTTTAGGTCTCTGGCTGTGGAGCCAGAGGTTGGGAGTTTGATTCCCCACTGTGCCTCCTTGACAGGGGCTGGATTCGCTGATCCATAGGGTCCTTTCCAGCTCTGTAGTTCTAAGATTCTAAGATAATCCATGGAAGGGTAACATGTGGCCTTCCAAATAAGGTTGGACTCCCATCCTTCCTCACCGCTAGCTCAGCCTAATGAGCATTGCAGTATAACAACATCTACAGGGCTTGCATATTGACCATCTGTTTTTTAAGGAACCTCTTCTCCCCCCCTTTCTTTGGTGTAACACTGTTTCCTTGTGCTTCAGGTTTTGTGTCCCAAAAAATGTTGACTGCTTTGGCACAGCTGGGAAGCATGCTAGGATCCTTAGTAGGCCAGCTCTGTTTGATCCCTTACAAGAAGACACTCCTGGCTGCTTTCATGCTGTGTCTCATTGTGGTGAGACTTGATCCAGGTATGTGAGTGGCGGGGAGGCTCCCATGCCCATGATTTCTTATGTCTCGAAGATCAGAAATAATACCTTACACCCTGAGGCATGGTCTCTCAAATTGGATTGTGTGGGATGCAGTGATGCTGAAATGAGATGCGGCTATCTGGAATAACTTGTAACATTTCTACAAATGGGCTTTTAAAAGTCTGGAACTCATCTGTTCACACATCAGACTTGCAGGTGGTAGGATCAGGTCTCGGGTATCCAAGGCAGGATGTAATAATGGCACCAAATAAAACTGGAATCCACAAGTAAGGGGAGAGGTGAGTTAGGTCTGTGGATAGTAACTAAAATGAGAATTTTAAGAGGAAATACATTAAAGATTTCTTGGGCAGGTTGGGGACAGCTTCTCTCTCTGTGTCCACATTTGTACAAAAGAATAAGGATTGTATGCATGCCTTGTCTCCCATTTGTAGTAAGCTCTTCTCCCCCCTTTCTTTGGTGTAACACTGTTTCCTTGTGCTTCAGGTTTTGTGTCCCAAAAAATGTTGACTGCTTTGGCACAGCTGGGAAGCATGCTAGGATCCTTAGTAGGCCAGCTCTGTTTGATCCCTTACAAGAAGACACTCCTGGCTGCTTTCATGCTGTGTCTCATTGTGGTGAGACTTGATCCAGGTATGTGAGTGGCGGGGAGGCTCCCATGCCCATGATTTCTTATGTCTCGAAGATCAGAAATAATACCTTACACCCTGAGGCATGGTCTCTCAAATTGGATTGTGTGGGATGCAGTGATGCTGAAATGAGATGTGGCTATCTGGAATAACTTGTAACATTTCTACAAATGGGCTTTTAAAAGTCTGGAACTCATCTGTTCACACATCAGACTTGCAGGTGGTAGGATCAGGTCTCGGGTATCCAAGGCAGGATGTAATAATGGCACCAAATAAAACTGGAATCCACAAGTAAGGGGAGAGGTGAGTTAGGTCTGTGGATAGTAACTAAAATGAGAATTTTAAGAAGAAATACATTAAAGATTTCTTGGGCAGGTTGGGGACAGCTTCTCTCTGTGTGTCCAGATGTGTGCAATAGAATAAGGATTGTATGCATGCCTTGTTTCCCATTTATAGCAAGGATGATGTGCAGTTAGTGATGTATTGCTTCCTGTAATGGCCTAGCAACTGAGATGTGCTTATCCACCTGTCATACTCCCTGACCACATGCTCCTGGGACAACCTATTCCTCACCTAAAATAGGACCTGTCTCTGAAGGAGATTGTCCCCTAAGAATATTCCAAGGCCTAGTGCAAGCATCATCATCAATGGAATCATATGAGGGAGGTTTTGCTAGATTGTCCTGCTTCCCGCTAGAGCTGGGGACTCACGTGTTTGAATGTTGCCGTTTTATGTATGTGTGTTTATATGTATGTTTTTATGGTACATCCTGCCATCAATGAATACAAACTGCTACAAAGAAATACAGTTCTCTGCATAGGAGAAGCAGCACATTAGGAGGAGAAGGAAAATCTTTTCTCATAACCTGCTAGTTTCTACATGTAATGATAGTGTGTATGTGTTCATGTGTGTGTGTGAATTTCCCAACATGTGATTCCTGACCTAGTGTTATAAATTTAATAAGAATTGCAGCGCTTGATTCTGCTGGTTGTATAACTTGCATGATGGCATCTAGGGATCTCTGTGTGTTCTGTGCCATCAACTCAGAATCAATTTATAGTGACCCTAATAGGGCTTTTAAAGTAAATGAAATATTTAAGGAGGAGTTTTTCCAGCGTGTTTCCATGGCTGAGTGGGGATTCGAACCCTGTTCTCCAGAGTCCTACTCTGTACTCTATCCACTAAACCACACTGGAAATATCTAGGGATCTGAGGGTATTTAAAATGCCAAATAAAAAATTGTTTGGATCCAGGAATCAGCTTTGCAGGGGTAGAAGAATTCTACTTTCCGAAGGTGTCTCCGCCTAAGTTTTTGGAGATCCCTTTCTCATCTCCACCACAGCTGCCTCCCACTCTGCCCTTTGTCCACGATTTCCAAAGAAAGTGAGGGACTGCTTTGGAGAGCAGGGGGCTGGGGAGTTTCCTAATGCCAGCCCAACTGCCTTTGTGGCTGCATCTAACCCAGATCTACCTGTTTACGGTTCTTCTATACATCCAATAGGATTTAAGGATTTCCTCTCTGCTTTAAGTCTGCCTGCCTCAAGATGCCCACCTGGGTTGCCAGGTGCAGGTTTAGAACATTTGCTCCACGGCTACCCAGCACAAAAGACTGGATGTTCCACGGACTTAATGCTTCCGATCAAGTTGCGGCAAATTAGGTTGGTGAAATAGAAAACGTGGTAGCCCTAGAAATGCCTTGTAATCTTGCAGGGTACATTCAGTTCCCCGTGTCAAGAGCTTGTTTTTGCGGTGTGAGAACTCTGTGAAGGCCATGTATTTGCACTTAAAGGAGGAATCCTTGACTGGTTTCATGGTAGTTTTGTTATGTTATTACTGAAGATTGGGGTGGGAAGCTTGTGACCCTCCAGGTATTGTTGGGTTGCTACCACTGTCAGCCCTAGTTGGCATAGTCAGTGGTGAGAGTTGCAATCCACAAATATCAGGGGCATCCTACAGGGTGGGCCGCTGCTGATAGACATGAAACATGAACGTAACCTTCTTCCGCTCTTCATTTCCAGCCTCTCCAACTTCTCTGCCGTTTCTGTACAGGCTCCTCCAGCTGCTTCGTCAAGCCCGGATGGCTGTGTTTTCTCCACACCACCGGCCTCCCATGCAGGACTAACTGACTCTGCTTTCTCATGCTGACTCAGTGTTGATTGGAAAATTATGGAACAGACATCAAATCCAAGCTGACTCTCCAAGCTGTCTGGAAGGAGGGCACCGTGGGTCTCTTTGAAGGAGTTGTGATCTGGGCTGAAACTCAGTTCAGCTGGAAGATACTATCACCAGTACCCCATCTCTGCTGTCCTTTCTCTGTCTGGGGCCATTTCTTTTGTACTGGAGTCTACATCTGGAGCCACACTCCTGGAACATCCTTACTTGTTAAGCTGCTGTTTAGATCAGTGGCATTTACATCCAAGTAAACATCAGGATCAGGGTATCTGAGGAGTCCATTTCAGGTCTTTTAATGCAACTCTATCTGCCAAGAGAAACACTGAGAATTTTCTTCTAGGGAGCATCCCTGAGGCTTTTTATGGTATATAACTGTTGCTATTCAATTTGAGCTGAGAGTCTCTGTTGGCTGTGTTTTCTCCACACCACCGGCCTCCCATGCAGGACTAACTGGCTCTGCTTTCTCGTGCTGACACAGTGTTGACTGGAAAATTATGGAAGAGATCTCAAATCCAAGCTGACTTTCCAAGCTGTGTGGAAGGAGGGCATCGTGGGTCTCTTTGAAGGAGTTGTGATCTGGGCTGAAGCTCAGTTCAGCTGGAAGATACCATCACCCCATCTCTGCTGTCCTTTCTCTGTCTGGGGCCATTTCTTTTGTACTGGAGTCTACATCTGGAGCCACACTCCTGGACCATCCTTACTTGTTAAGCTGCTGTTTAGATCAGTGGCATTTACATCCAAGTAAACATCAGGATCAGGGTATCTGAGGAGTCCATTTCAGGTCTTTTAATGCAACTCTATCTGCCAAGAGAAACACTGAGAATTTTCTTCTAGGGAGCATCCCTGAGACTTTTTATGGTATATAACTGTTGCTATTCAATTTGAGCTGAGAGTCTCTGTGTCTTGATAATATAACTGCTTTGTTGAGGCTGGCAGAAGTAATTTGGGACAAAGTGCTTTTTCTGTTTTGCTTTGGTAATGGAGCTCTTTCTAAGCAGCAAGGAGTGGGGGGGGGAGATAAATCACCCTCTCATTTGTGCCCAAAGCTTAGTAAAGTTACTTGGTAGAACTACACATTCCATAATCCCCCAGCCAGCCAGAATGTATGCATCAGGGGAGCTGCGGTCCAAAATGTTAGCATTTCCAGCTTAAAGCTGAAAAGGCAATTTATTATTGTAGTTCAACCATTGTAGTCTGACACCTGTAGTCAAAAAAATCTAACCTTTCCAAGCTCTGGTGCTTTTATAGGGCTGCCATCTTTCCTACACTGCAGTCAGAGATTCTGTGCTCTCCATCTCTTCAAGCATAGCATCCGGATAGGAATTCTGCTTGTCCTGGACTATATTGGTAGGAATGCTAAAGTAATTCAACAAGCCACTGGGTATTTGTGTAAAAGGAAAAGTTGGTGACTATCATGGGCTTGCTTGAATTTTTTGTAACACTCAAACGTGCAGGCCTTTGTCTGAAACAACCCTGTAATATTTTTATGAGCAAATAGTCTGGCAGGTTTTTTAAATAGGTTTGACACATGGTTGCTTTTTTTAAGCTTGGAAGGAGTTTGCAAAAGTTATGGTCTTTTAAAAATAAATATGAAAGCAACCATTGCTCACCCCTCATGGCATTTACTGTCTATTTCATATAAAAGGTTCCCAAAAATGAATAACTTTGCCCTTATTATTTGTAATTTTTAATGAGATGCATCCACCAATCTTTCCAAGGAGAGGACAGTAGAACAATAACGGGAGCATCCGGATAGGAATTCTGCTTGTCCTGACCATATTGGTAGGAATGCTAAAGTAATTCAGCAAGCCACTGGGTATTTGTGTAACTCTGGCTTCGTTGCATGGATGCTGCTGCAAACTAATTGCTATGTATTTATTTCTAATTCTCTAATATTGATTTGCACACGTTTTGTTAGTTTTATTACTTTGATTATAGTGGGTTTCTAAAAAATATATATCTCCATTCTTTTGGCAGCTAGATGGCACCCCTTAGTTATTGCAAAATCAGAGTACAAATTGCAAAGTGACCTGTAATGAAACAAAGAGCAAAAGAGTCCAAGCCAGTGAAACATCACTTGCTACAGTTATGGGATCAGTTGAAAGCACTTCCTGAAAAGGAAGGTCTTAATAGACCACCAAAAAAAGCAACAAAGAGGGAGCTGGAGGGAGGGAGTTCCACAGGAGAGGCTCTGCAGGCTAGGGAGGCTGAACCATATATACACAGGCACAAAATGTTGTCTTCTTGATGGACGATCACTGCAGATGGGTAGGTTTGGGTACAAGGAGGTAGTCTTTCTCCTCTTCCCAGAACCGGTGGGCAAAGCGCAGTTCTCCCACATTTGGACTATCACTCCAGTGGTGCCTCACCACGGACTACCTTGACCAGGGCTGATGAGAGCTGCTTTGGAAGCATTACAGAATAGTGTGACCAGTACTTAGTAGACCATGTACTACAGTAGGCTGAACTCAACTGAAATGATAGGCTTTGAAAAGTGAGTCCCAAATAGAACTCTGGTTGCACCAGCGGAGCTTTTTAAACCCTCCAACCATGGCAGACCCATGTGGCTGGTACTGCAGCTGTATAAGCTGGATGTGACCCAAGAATGTGGGATAGTGGTGATATCTTTGTCCAAAAAAGGGTGTGTTTGGTCTATCAAAGATTCTCCTGGCCACAGTTACCAGACAGTGCTAGAACACATTTGGGTCCTGGAGTGTTACCAGATGACAAACGTAGTTCTCAGAACAGGGCCAGATTGCAAACCTAGGGAGCTGTAACCCTGTCCACAACAGACAACACACCCAACAAACTGTTGGGTAGCTTAGAGGTTTAGGTCTCAGGCTGCAAAGCCAAAGGTTGGGAGTTCGATTCCCCACTGTGCCTCTTTGACAGAGGCTGGATTCGATGATCCATAAGGTCCCTTCCAGCTGTGCAGTTCTAAGATGATAATGATTAATACCAGACTGCTTTATCTACTAACCACCTCTGTTTTGTCTACAGTACATTTCAGCTGCTAAGTTCACATTCAATCTATTAATGCACTTGGGTGGCAAGGTGGAACTTCCACAGTCTTTCCCGTGTTCAGGTGGCATTGAAAACACCAATTAGCCGGATGAGTTCTCCCTGAAGTTTCATGTGCATGTACAGTAGCACAGAATTTAAGATAGAACAATGTATGATCCATAGCCAAGGAACTAGTCCCTGACATTGCCACGTGGAGCTTGCTAGAAGCTAAGACTGGAGTTACAGCAAAACTGAGACACCATGCTTAATGTTAATAGAAGCTGCTGTGAGAGCCTGTAGAACCAATAGGGAAAGAAACCCCCCCCCGGTCCAGTTCCTGATGCAGGTTGTCTTCAAGGGCAGCCAAGGCCATTTCAAAAGTGGCCTGAACACAGGTTAGAGAGCATTATGATTATCTGTTTTTTCCAATAAAATGTGGGATTGTGTCATCATAATCCAACTGAGCTCTTCATTCAAGAATTATGAATTTGAAATTAGCTGGTAATTGCCTAGGATTTAGGTGATCACAATACAGTGAGGGCTTCTTCCAGGATCAACTTAGAACATCTTCCTTCATATATAGAAGTATATAGAACCTAAGATGAACAAGGCTCTAGACCAGTGGTTACCAAACATGGATCTCCAGATATTCTTGGACTATAACTACCAGAAATCCTGGCCAGCACAGCTAGTGATGAAGGTTTCTGGGAGATTTTGTCCAAGAACATCTGGGAACCCAAGGTTGGGAACCACTGTTCTAGACAGAGGTCTTGAGATCCCCTCAAGCTTACAGATCGTTTCTCATCTTCCTGTGGAACAAGTTGGAAGCATAAACATGCATCCAACTTGTTCCACAGGAGGATGAGAAAAACCATATGAGAAATGCTAAGAACGTACCAGTTCTATTTAGAGCATTCTCACTCTGGAATCTAAGAGTTCATCTCTGCTACACCGCAGTTTGGGTTTAGCAAGATGCTTGGAATTCTTGGCTAGAGAGCTTTAGCACACCCCACAGAACTGCAGTCCTAGATTTCTGAGTTGCATGAATGTGAATGTATTCAGTGATGTATATGAGCAACAGGAGGGGAGGTTGCCAGGGGTGATTATGACCTCCTTCCTGCCTTGCTGTGATGCTTAAGGGCACTCCTTAGGAGTGTCATGCATGGCTTGGGCTCCTTGGCACCAAGCTACCTAGAAGTGAGACAGCAGTGGGAACATCAACACCCACAGCTGCTGTTGTTGACCAAGAAGGGGAGCGAATACCACTGGAGGCACTATGGTAAGAAAGGGAGGTGAAGGGAGTTCTCGCCCAACCAGGAGGGTGCCCAGAGCCCAATAAATCCCAGGTGTGTGTGTGAGAGAGCAACATCTTCCATTCTTCTTCATTCTCCTGTAGGTCTAGGCTGTGATGGGGTTCCCTTTGTCCTGCAACATGTTTTGAACTTCACCTCCTTCACACAGTGATCATATTGGGTGGAGTGGATGACTGTTGCAGTTCAAAATATCTGGAAGACAGAAGGTTCCCTGCCCTAGCCTTAAGCAGACAGAAAACAAAGGCAGCTTGAGAGTCTAGAACAGAGGAGAGCTAGAACATGCGGAAAGTGAGGATGTCAAAATGATGGATCAACAAAATTTGGAATTTGAAGAAAAACTTTGCAGCAGCTCAGTGTTCAAGGCCAGCAGCTGTGTGACTGTCTAGGTGAAGAAGTTAATCCTGACCTTCATATATCCATCCGCTGATGGGGCCTTTTCACATAACCATTGGACATGGAAGAACATTTGGGGGGGAAAAACCTTGTGTTGCAGTGGGGAAATGAGGAATGATCATGGAAAGATATGCTGGAGATGATGATGTAAGTCAACACAGAACACAACATACATAACCACAAATGGCCTCAAGATTAATTTCAAACACTGTTGGACTATTTTGATGGAATGAAATTTGATTGCAATGACTGCCATATGACTGATTTTATAGAAAAAAAACTAAGTGAGAAAGTGCCCACCTTGTATCCAACTTGTTCTTTAGCCTTGACAAATACAGTATATACATATTTCACAGCCAGTTCTAACAAAATAGCTACTGTGTTGGAGAAACAGAAGGAGAGGGATTGAACTTTTGCTCCTTTGTGTGTGAGATAGAGCTGGTTGGATAGCTCAGTGGGTTAGGTATCTGGCCACAGAGCCAGAGGTTGGGAATTTAGTTCCCCCAGTGTGCATTCCAGAAGAGCCAGTCTGTGTGGTCTTGGGCAAGCTGTATGGTCCCTGAGTGCCCCTAGAAAAAGGGAATGTTAAACAACTTCTAAGTACTCTTTACCTAAAAAACCTGGAACAGTATTGCCATATGTCAAAGTTGAGTTGATGACACACAATTATCATTATTACATGAGATAGGAGAGTGGAGCTACAGTAGTTGAAGGAGGTAGGTTCCATATCCTTCGGCTTTAGCTTGCTCCCAGTCTTCTGTGTGTCAGCTTGAGCAATGCAACTGAAGTCCTGCTCAGTCATCTTGATATTGTGTGTGGTCAGTGCGCATGAAGTGGAAGTGCAGTGGTGGATTCTGTGTGTGACAGCCCAAAGAATTTACCTTCTTCAAACAGGGAAAAACATTAATACTGTATGGGAGACAGCAAAAGAGAGAGATTCACCAATCAAGGCAGAGGGATTTAAGTGCTTAGGTTTTGATTAGAGATGTGGAGGTGTGCCTAAGGAATTCTGGGAGTTGTAGTCCAAAGCCACAAATCTGTGCACTTCTCGTGTGAATCCCTGCCCTTTATATTCTACCAGGTTTGTGGAGCTGAGGAATGTTTGCCACCTCTTTTGTGTGGCAGCTTCCTCATGAAAAGCCACGTGGAGGCAGATGCAATATTCTTGCATTCCACAGTGGGAGTAGCTATACCTGTTGAATTTCGGTGATGCAGACAGAGGAGAATTCAGTTTGTTTTCAATAAAAACTTTCCAGTTCTCCATACATCCTGAGGGGGAAAAATTGATGTCATTTTTTTAAAAGAAAAAGATGTGGAAGTAAAACTTAGACTTGCCCATTCCTTAATTGAACAAACTTACAGGGTGGCATGACAAAAGCAGAATCTGTGCATTGCAATGGATGCATGTAGCCAGCTAACCAAATACGTATAGACAAGGTTTTGGACTGCTGTGCCAGAATCTGTGCATTGCAATGGATGCATGTAGCCGGCTAACCAAATATAGACAAGGTTTTGGACCCCTGTGCCAGATACAGTACCTTGACTGGCTTTGGATAGTATGCATCTTGAATTGGGTAAGAATACTGTATATAGTTTGCTGCTCTGTCTGAGGCAGAAAGATACCTCAGACCAGTTCTGTGTACTGTATAGGGATTGAAGAAGGTTGGCGTGTTTACCTTAGAAAAGAGGCAAACAAAAGGCAGTACCATGTCCATGTTCAGGTGTGGTCACATATTTGAAAATGAACATTTGGCTGCAGAAGGACAAGAACCAACTTTGTTCCCAGTTGCTCCAGAGGGCAAGACCCCCCAAACAATTGCAAAGAAAGGCATTTGGACTAAGCACAAGGAAGAAATTTGTGACAGCAAAAGGGTCTGCTTCAGGAGGTGGTGGACTCTCTGTCATTAGCTGTTTTAAAGCAGAGGTTGGTTGAATCTACTACAGATTCAGTAGCAATAGATGGCTTGTATTGGCAGAGGGTTTGGACTGGAATGACTTAGAGGAGCCCTGTGGTACTGTGGTTAATCTGCAGTACTGCAGTCAAGACTCTGTGCACAACCTGAGTTCAATCCTCATGGGCTCAGGTAGTCAACTCATGGTTGACTCAGCCTCCATCCTTCCAAAGTCAGTAAACAGAGTACTGGAGAGGCAATGTGTAGCCTGCATAAGTAAACTGCCCAGAGAGTGTTTTAAATGCTGTGGGCTATTGTATAAGCACACTTTGCTTTCCTTTTTGAGGCTGCTTCCCTTTCTGTGATTCTAAGAATTATAGCTCAGCATGGTGATAAATGAAACAGAGGCTTGGAAAGCCTTTACAGTAGTTCCTCTCCATTTCACAGAAACAATGCTTTCTGGTATCTATTCCTCGTTTTCCCTGGGTTTAATATAAACCAGAGCTCAGGCAGGCAGGATGATGGTCACAAATTGCAGCCCTCTTCCCTGAAAAGTGCAAAGAATAATTTCGTAACTCTGAGCACGTCCAGAACAATTTCCTTGCTTAACTGAGTCAAAAGAACAAGGGATGAATCATTCCAGATGACTTGAGTCTCACAGCTAAGCCTAGTTTGATCCCAGTAGCGCTGGGGAAAGTTCCTTTTTGGGGGCTACAACTGCCAGAGGAGAGCCCTATCCAGCATGAGAGTTACGGTCCAAAAAGGCAACTTTTGCCAGCGCTACTGGCAGATATTTGGGTGATTTGCAGTAGGTCAGCGAGGATTTCCCTGCCTCAGTAATTAAATAACAGATCAGAAGCCGGATTGACCAGTCTTCAATCATATTGCTGACATTAATAAAGTTTGGCACGAGCAGGAGTGGATTTTAATGCATAGGACTGTGAGCTGAATTCCTTCCTTTGACTTATCAGTACTTCCTGGGCTCAGAATTCTTTGATTCTATGCATTTTGTTGGTGGACCTTGGGCTTGGGGGTGGAGGAAGAAAAAAAAGATACAGGTATGCTGAAATCTGCCCTTCCCTTGTGGCCGGACTGACGTGAAGAACAAGTTTTCATTCCCCTTCCTTTCCATGTACAAACCAGCTGGGCTGGCAGTTGAATCTTTACTGGTGGTCGGATAATCATTCCCAGCACAGCTAGAAGAAACAGACTCACTAACAGGGCACGAAGGAAACTGCAAGGTACACCTTTTGCAATATAAGGCGACCACCTCACTCTCCCTTGTGGTAGGAGTGCCAAAGCATCCCTGTCTTAGGTCCCTTGCAAAGTTTAGCTTCTTCCTTTGTTTTTACAAATACACCCTCAGATTGCCCTTGCTCCCTTCCTTTCAGCCAAAGGAAATGAGAAGGATGGGTCATTTTCTCCTACTGTATCCTAACTGGGCTATTCACCTATTAATTTCTTTAATATATGTGTCTGGCCCCTTGGGCCTTTGCTATTAAGGAAGTATCAACAGTCATCCGGACCGTTTTTCTTCCTAACGTTTCGCCAGTCTGTGGCCAGCATCTTCAGAGGACAGGAGTTAGAACTTCATCTGTGTTCTGGTGTAGAGTATGGGATAGTTGAGTATTTATAACTGTGGGACACTCAGCTATCCCACACACTACACCAGAACACAGACAGAGTTCTGATTCCTGTCCTCTGAAGATGCTGGCCACAGAGACTGGCAAAACATTGGGAAGAAAAACCTTCAGAACACAGCCAAACAGCCTGAAAAACCTACAACAACCGTCGGATCCTGGCTGTGAAAGTCTTCGAGAATACAGTGATTCTGAACTTTTGGCTTTCTGATCCCCACCTCCAAATGTACACTCTCTGTGTTAGTGAATCTGTATCTAAAGATGCAATCCACATCAGATAACAACCATAGAATCATGTAATAATGGAATTGGAAGAGCCCTATAAGGCCATCGAGTCCAAATGCTCAATGTAGGAATCCAAATCAAAACAGATCTTAAGAGATGGGTGTCCAGTTTTCTCTTGAGTGCCTCCAATGTTGGAGTGCTCACCACTTCCTGAAGAAACTGGTTCCATTATCATAATGCTCTAACAGTTAAGAAGTTCTTCCTGATATTTAGCCTAAATCTGGCTTCCTGTATCTTGAGCCCATTATTACGTGACCTGTACTCTGGGATGATTGAGAATAGATCCTGTCCTTCCTCTGTATCAGTGATCCCCAACCTTGGGCCTCCAGATGTTCTTGGACTTCAACTCCCAGAAATCCTGGCCAGCAGAGGCGGTGGTGAAGGCTTCTGGGAGTCGTAGTCCAAGAACATCTGGAGGCCCAAGGTTGGGGACCACTGCTCTATATGACTATCTTTAAAGTATTTGAAAATTGCTATTACAATGTTGCTATGGTAAACTTTACATAGGATTGTGTATTAAGATTGTTATCACTATCACTGATAATCACAAGCTCTTTGCTTTTGAGTTATATATCAGTCTAAACGCATGGAAATAGCTAAACTACAAAGACAGAAGAAAACCATGCATTGGCTAAAAATAATGAACAAAATCCATGAATATTCAGTTCAAATCAATGTCAACAATGTATTTCATTTGCACGTTGCTCAGTTTATCAGGATTTATGTGGATGGGTCCAGGATTCTGGACTATTCTTTATACATCTGTCTTCTGACTTCACCTATTCTCTGGTCTATAGCGTGAATGCATCTCTGTTCATGTTGGCCAAGCTGGAGTGCAGATTGGCAATGCTTGTTGGGAACTCTTCTGCCTGGAGCATGGAATCCAGCCAGATGGCACCTTCAAGGAAAATACCATCAGCAATTGTGACGACTCCTTTGCAACATTCTTCAGAGAGACAGGCACTGGGAAACATGTGCCACGGGCTGTCATGGTGGATTTGGAGCAAACTGTAGTTGGTGAGTCTGTCAGTAAGACAGGAATAAGGGAGAGGCATTATTCTGCATCATGGAGTTAAGTATAATGACTCTGTATTGACTGATAATTTCATCAATCTCTTTGAATCTACTTCAGTTGTGCTTGATTTAATATGAAAAATGGTACAAACTCCATTGCTGTGCTAACAACAATGGTTTGCAGTCCAGTTTAGGGCCAGTTGTATAGTGGAGCCAGCCCTGGGACTTCGTCACCCTCAGGGAGTATGACATAATGTGTGTGAGAGAGAGCGAGAGCGAGAGCGCTATTAGCTTTACAAAATACCTGCTCCTTACTTTTTTTATATAGACCAAACCGGCTACCTGCCTTTTCGCACTCTCCTTGGGAGGGCTGGCTGGTTACGGAGACTGGTTCTTCTTCATGGCCTCTGTGAATCACACTGTGGGTGATCCGCATCTGCGCGGAGCCTCTTCGGAATATGCTAGAGCTTCTGCGGTAGCAAAATACACATTAGAATAGACCCCTCCCCCTCAGTATAAGTACCTCAGTGCCAGGACTCTCCCTTCGGTTTCTTTCAACTGCCGCGTTGAAGAGCCTCATACTTCTATCTTCTGTGATTCTTTTTACTGCTAAATTTAAAAATCATCTCTAGCGAAACAAGTTCTTTTTACTGCTAAATTTAAAAATCTTCTCAATTTCTCTTCATTATTAATCAAAGATACATATTACAAACTGTTTTAGTTTTTTCCTCCGTGCCTCAGCCTCCGGCCGTCACACGCATCTTGACTCAAACTCTGTCTCTGGGAACAATCCTTGCAACCGGCAAGTCTCTCTCACACACACACACACACACACACACACACACACACTCTTTTATTTTTCTTTCTTAACTGTTCATGGCCCCTTTGGTCCCATTCAAGCAAAGCACTGCGTGATTTGCGATAATAAGATCCCGCTATCGGACAATCACACAAAGTGCCTTTTTTTGTCTAGGTGAGGTGCATCAAACCTCCTCGTGCTGTTTTAGTTTTTTCCTCCGTGCCTCAGCCTCCGGCCGTCACACGCATCTTGACTCAAACTCTGTCTCTGGGAACAATCCTTGCAACCGGCAAGACCCATGGCTCAACCTCTGTGTAAAACCACCTCACAGGCTAAAGCCATGGAAAAAGCCATTGCAGAATCCTTGAAACATAGTTCCTCCACTACTCCATCTCATTCTGATCCATCTACAGTGGATCTCAGTCAGGAAAACATCAAACATGATGTTTGGGTTTCTGGTCATTGCACCTTTGGATAGGTTGTTGGAGGGGTTTCACGAACGACTTCTTCATACTTTGGACATCAGGAGGGCCCTCTCCTTTTATTTGCCACATACACAACCTTTTTGATATTCCCCAAGCTTTTTGTCAGTCATCAACCTCCTAACAAAGGCCTACAAGTCACTTCTCAGACGATTTCCCACTGGGTTGCCTCTACTATTCGGCTTGCATACCAGCTTGCTCGACAGCCAAGTTATTCGCCCTCATTCCACCAGGGCATTGGTGACCTCTACAACATTCCTACGTAGTGTGCCTCTCCCCGACATCTGCGCCTTGGCTATGAGGGCACAACCATCTACCTTCATCCAATCTACCTTCGTCCAGCATTATAGACTGGATGTTTAACAGAAGTCTGATGCGGCATTCAGACGTGCTGTTTTGGTTTCCACCTTGGCATGACACCCTGCCTCTGGGTTAGACAGCTTGCTAGTCACCTACAGTGTGATTCACAGAGACCACAAAGAAGAATGGCAGGTTACTCACCTGTAATTGTAGTTTTTCGAGTGGGCCTCTGTGATTCACACATCTCACCTGAGTTCCCCTCTGTCATGTCATGCAATATTTTTCTCCTTGCGGCGGTTTACACAACTGAAGGGAGTGTCCTGGTGCCAAGGTACTTATACTGAGGGAGAGAGGTCTATTCTAATGTGTGTGTTTTTTGCTATTCTAGAGCTTTTGCAGAAGCTCTAGAATATTCCAAAGAGGTTCCGGGCAGGTGCGGATCACCCACAGAGGTCCACTCGAAGAACTACAATTACAGGTAAGTAACTTGCCATTATAACCTATAAAGCTGTTTAGCTTTATATATTGCACTATTATATGCTGCCGCCTACATAAATATGTCCATTCATCTTCCACAAGAACATCTCTAGATTATTTTGAGAGGTGCTGCTTTACCTCATGTCCACCTAGTTGGCTGATATAGCATTTACTGTATATCCAAATGAGACGTGACCAGGCATTCTCTGTATTAGCTGTCAGGCGAAGAAACTCTCTCACTCCCACATTACAAAAAAAACACAGGATTCTCCAATTATCATTCAGGCAGAAAATGACTATTTTGACCCCAAATAGTTCAAGGTGATTCAAAGAGGAACTTTATTTATTTTATTAAATCCTATGCATAGGTTGCCTTTCACAGATTGAGGGGGCCCAAGGCAGTTCACAATATTAAAACAAACAGATTTGACTCCAGTGACACATGCCTTAGTTACATCCCGTTTGGATTATTGTAACACACTCTGTGTGGGGCTGCCTTTGAAGGCGGTTCAGAAACTTCAGCTGGTGCAAAATTCTGTAGCCAGACTACTGACTGGGGCCAGCTACAGGGAGTATATCACACACAAGAACTGCACTGGCTACCAGTCTGTTTCCAGGCCCAATTCAAAGTGCTGCTCATTACCTATAAAGCCCTATACAGCTTGGGTCCAGGCTACCC